AAAAAAAGAAATTATTCTTTTCACATAAGCCTATATACACTATCTAAATGTAGTCTACATTTTCATGATGTTGATCATGAAAGAATTTTCATACTGACAGATCAGACAGTGTCACTTGTTGCATACTGGTACTAAGTCAGTTTCCTATATTAGAGTATTTCTGTATTCAACTGACAGATTATACAAAACCAGCCTGTGTGCATCTCTGGAGAATGTTTCTGAGATTAAATAAATTTGAATATGGCCCATTTGAAAAGACTCAGTTGAAACATTTCTGTTCATATACTGACTCTTCAGGATTATTCTTTTCCTGCTAACGCAAATTACCTTAGATTTCTTGTGATGTCTTTGTACTCTTCTTCAAATTGCTGGTTATCCCAGGATCTTCCTGGATTATAGTCAGAAAAAATAAAAAGGCACTATATTATTGCCTAAAAATCCTCAGATGCCAGGTGGAGGCATTAAAACAGTTAAGCAGCCCTGAGATATTCTTTAGTGTCACAACATTCTATATAATTAAATTCCACCAACATGCTCTGATTGTATAAATGAGAAAATGATGTCATCCTTACCTACAGCAGTCATATTCCTAAATGTTTCCTGCATCACATCTCTGTAGAGCTTCTTTTGGGATGGAGTCAGCAGAGCCCACTCCTCCTTGGTGAAGTTCACAGTTACATCCTCAAATGTCACTGCCTCCTAAACAAACATGCATGTTTCTTCAAAGAAGGTGGAGATGCACACCCTGAGATATCTCAACTCCTCTCATAAAAAGCTAAACTGAGGTTGATGCCTTCAACTCTGAACTCCATGTCTTGGTCCCCAAACCTCTGTGTATGCACACAGCAATTTTTATGCTAGGTTGCAACTCATTGCTAAAGCAACTGCAGAATAATAGCACTGATTGCCCTGCAAGTCACCCACATTGTAGTTTTGCACTGTCTCTAAAGCAGAGCTCGTAGAGGGAGCCCACAAATCACCACCCACAAAGTACAGGAGCAGATAAATATCTAATGATTGATTCTGATAGACCATAGGTTATACCTTTCAAACCTTATTATTTATAAAACTGAGTCCTTCTACTTGATTGTACTGTATTGAGGCAGCATTTTGAAACTTGAATTTTGATTCATAGAAATAACTTCAATGAATATCAAATCAAATAAGCTGATGAATAATAATTAAAGTGCAAATTAAAACTACTATATAAGAGCAAGCCTATGGGCAATGAAAAAGGCAGAAGAGTGGCATATAATCTTATAGTTTCGTGACACCAAATGATAACTTTGAACTCAGAAGAAACACCAGGATGGTGTAAGTCAGGGCAATGAGCTGAAGAATATGAATAAGCTGTATTAAATGCAAATTGAGCCAGCATATTACAACTTACTTATTGTCACACTAAAAATATCCCTAGAGAAACCACTGGTTCAGCATCTACCTGGCTACCTCCTTTACCCCTTACTTTTCCACTTCGTATCTGTCCCTCCTTTTTTCCATAAAAAAATCCCTTTTGTGTTTTCCACTGATGCATGTCCACCTAAAATTTCTTCTTTTCCCCAGTGTGATACTGTTGTCAATCAAAATCCTACCTCATCCAGCGTGTCCATTTGGGAACACTGTTTGTGAGGTATTGGTGAACTGTAGAAATTATGTGAGCAGCGATGTGTTTCTGTTTCTCTGCACTCATACATGAACTGCATGGACGTGTGAGTGCCTACTTCAAGGAGTGTAACAGGTGTGCGTTTAACAGATGGCCCCTTCTGCATGTTGCCCCTTACAGCAGGATTTTCATATTCCCTATTTAAAATTGGTAACATATTACTGAAGTTTTGGTATTATAAAATGCAAAAACTCATTTATTGATTTTACTTCATTTACTTGTTGCACTGCTCCAGATACTTTTTGGCAAGTGCCCTAACACTGATTTTCAGTGCAGGCAACATGGAACACTTTTTCCAATTTTTTTTTTTTTGTTTTTTTTTGTTTTTTAACTTTCTGCAAAGCTTTATTTCAGAGGGGCTCAGTCCTTCTTGGCAGCTGCCTTCCTCATGGCAGCAAGCACGTTGCTCAGCTCCTCACACTTCCTCTTAGCAAGGATGTGTGTCCCCACCCTTTTCTTGATGAACTTGAAGGTAAGCTTGTCCTTGGAGACCTTGAGCAGCTCCATTTCATGCTGCTCGTAGGGGGCAAAGCTGTACACCTCCCAGATCATGCCCTGCATGAACTTGGTCTGTTTGGTGAGTCACTACTATTCTTCAATGGTTGTTGTGGTGGAAGGTCCAATTTAAATGTGATTTGTACCTGTTTCCGGCTGCGCGGAGGCAGCTTGTGCGTCTGAGACGCCCCAAAGTTAGGACCTTTCTTTGCACTCTTGAGGCGCCGGCGGTGGCTCTGCAGCTGTCATCATGCCACAGAATGAATATATTGAATTACATCGTAAACGCTATGGGTACCGCTTGGATTACCATGAGAAAAAGAGAAAAAAGGAAAGTCGAGAGGCTCATGAACGTTCAAAGAAGGCAAAAAAAATGATTGGCCTGAAGGCTAAGCTCTACCACAAACAGCGCCATGCACAGAAAATACAAATGAAGAAGACTATCAAAATGCATGAAAAGAGAAACACCAAGCAAAAGAATGATGAAAAGACTCCACAAGGAGCAGTACCTGCCTACCTGCTAGACAGAGAAGGACAGTCTCGTGCAAAAGTACTTTCCAACATGATTAAACAGAAACGGAAAGAAAAGGCGGGAAAATGGGAAGTTCCTCTGCCCAAAGTTCGTGCCCAAGGAGAAACAGAAGTATTAAAAGTTATTCGAACTGGAAAGAGAAAAAAGAAGGCATGGAAGAGGATGGTTACTAAAGTCTGCTTTGTTGGAGATGGTTTTACAAGAAAACCACCTAAATATGAAAGATTCATTAGGCCAATGGGCTTACGTTTTAAGAAGGCCCATGTAACACATCCTGAACTGAAAGCCACCTTTTGCCTGCCAATACTTCGTGTAAAAAAGAATCCTTCATCGCCACTGTATACAACTTTGGGTGTGATTACCAAAGGAACAGTGATTGAGGTGAACGTGAGCGAGGTGGGCCTTGTGATGCAAGGGGGCAAGGTTATCTGGGGTAAATATGCTCAGGTAACCAACAATCCTGAAAATGATGGATGCATCAATGCAGTCTTACTAGTTTGACAAATGTTTCATACAGTAACTTCTTACACTTCAATTGAAGACTACAGACCAATCAGGAAAACCGTAACTCGAATACTGCTCAACTGTCATAACTACGTTCATCAAGAAAGCTATTTATTAAATTGTAGAAACAGTAAAATGGCCCAGTTTTACAAATTGGTCTTTTATTAGGGGTCTGCTAAGGGCTTACGTGTGAGATTGAACCATTTGAAAAAGTAAATGTGAGTCTTTGCATTAAAGAATAGGTGCTCAACAACACAGACCTCTCATTCCTAAAAAGGTACCAGAATTTAAAATCAGTGCATATAAGAAGGTTATATGTTAGGTGTGCGTCTCAAGTTTTGTGATCTGAATTAAATGGCCATGGCTTGAACTTTGGGTTTCTGTATATTAATCTAATCACCAGATGCTTTAAATTCTTTTTATTTTTTAAAGTCTGTCTTCAGAGTACAACCAGTATGATTAACTGTGCCTTTAACAAAATTATTCAACTTCTAAACAAATTCAGTATCTAAACGTATCTTCATGAATGTAACTGACAAAAAGAGGGGAAAGAATTTCACAGCAGACCAAAAAACAATCACAAAATAAAGGTTTAATTACACTTAAAAAAAAAATTCCAAGAAAATAAACAACTATTCCGGTTAAAATAAATAAATAAATAAATAAATAAATAAATAAATAAATGTGATTTGTAAAGATTCTATGATTTCAGAATGGAGGGTATGTGTTTGGTAATTTTTGAATTTATCATTACGCTAAGCCCAGAGTGGAGGATAAAACTTGTGTATTTGAGAACTCCTATTTAAACTTTTAACAAATTTAGCATGGTTCAATATCTTAGCCACTTTCTTTCACTGGGACCAGCCAAACTCAGCTGAAAGGAGCAGGGTTTATGTATTCTCACAATATCACTTCCCCTTCTCTTGGTTCCAAAATGGAGACTGGAAGAGAATCTGGAAAAAAAGGTCCACATACCACAGCAATGAGAAGGTAAAGGTGGGTGTAAGACAGACAAGAACCTACTTTTCTAGGCTGTAGTCCTAGTAACTCACTTCTAAAAAACCCCACCTCCTAAGAGCACATTCTGGTACTGAACTCCTCAGTGAACACATCCACTGGAGACAGGGAACAAAAAACCATTTAGTTTTCACAGTTAGGACACATTTAGTGGGCAGTAAGATAAAAACCATACTTTGTTTCTGGGTTAAAAAAAGCACACAAAGCACAGCCTAGTCTCAAGCACAGAGCAACCTCACCCAAGTCAAGTCTCTCAACCCTTCTGCTCGCTGCACAGCATGGTGAGAAGCAGGGCTGCAGATACTGAGCTGGGAAAGTCAGAGCTCCAGCCACAGTGGAATTACCCTTCTTATCCTAAGATGCATAGTTCCTTCAGAAGCTTCAGCCTCAACCTGAGAGCTGGAAAGTACCAATGTGTACTCCAACAGATGAGCCAAGAACAGAGATTTCTCCACTGATGTAGGAGCCCCAATTCCTGCCAAACCTAGTTCTGTTCGCTTCCAACTAGAAATTATGCCTCCAAGAAAAGTTTTGCTTGTCTTTGCTCACTTAGTGCTGCACATTCAGTGAGGTCTCCCAGGTCCTTCCCAGCTCAGTTGAAGCTGCAGAACAAGTCAAGCTGAGCCAGCTTGGGAGTCTCTCAGCCCTACACTGGGGGCTTCTGACTTGGACACCTGACAAAGGGGGATTCTATCCTCTGGCCAGCATGTATGATTTGACTGTTCATACAACCCAAACATTTCTTCACTCATGCAAGTGTGCTCTGTTTTGCATACTGAGTCACAGGGAGAGCAAAGACAACATGCTGAGTGGAGCACAAACAACACATTCTAAACAAAACCCTTCTCTGCTCAGGTTTTCTCCCGGAATATTGACTTGACCTGGGCTGTTGGATCACTGATGTGAAGCAGGATTTGCTCCAAGCTTTGCAGAGCTGACTGTGTCCTCTTACTGTACTTTGTGTGCTCTTTGTATTTGTTGTCCTTGGTGATGGGACTGCAGCTCTGTCACTGCACTGCCAGACTCAGTGATACATAGAGAAAAGCACCACACCCAAGGAAAAATGTGGGCCCAGGCAATGGCGGAACACAGATGGATACAAGAAGGCACCAGGAAAGTCAAGAGTGAAAACAGCTACATGAGACATGTAGCTCCATGGCGCAGGGTTTCTCATTCATTGTAATTCAATTTAAATCATTTCCAGTAAACAAAATAAAAGCGTATCAATAGGGGTTATATTACTTTTTAAAAATGAGGAAACTGATATAATTTAGTAGCACTATTAAGCAGAGGAATTAAAATCACATTGAAATTTTCGTACACCTCATACAGAGGCAACTGTTTTCAAGTTTTCTTTTCATTTTTATTTATTTATTTTTTTAAAGGAAACATTTATTTTTTTAAAACATTTATTTATTGTGTGTGTGTGTGTGTGTGTGTGTGTGTGTGTGGCCAGCTCAGCCTACCAGGGAGCGGGGCTGGCTGGCA